TTGGTACTGTGAAACCACTCCCTATAATAGCGTTGGGAACAAGTCGGGTGCTTCCCAGCGCAGAAGTGCGTCTCCTGCAGGAGCACAATATCAACCTTTTGCTTATGCATGTGGTAAAGAATCTGAGACCGTTTAGAGGGATGATTAAACCCTTTCACATTAAAGGAACTTATTGACAGAGACATGGGTGCGTAGTGTGGCCGTCATAATGCCAATAAGCGTGCGTTCGATCAGTGATACGTACCGTCCCAAGAACATCTAAAACAGACAAGACCATACACAAACAAAACAGGGGGGACAGGACAAGGAACACGAGGGAAAACAACCATAACAAATAAAGAAATGGCTCGCAAGGGGAGCCCAAATGGGACCGTACCATAGAGCCATGTCCACCAGGACAGGCTCCAGGTAGGGAACCCAAACATCTAAAGCTGGCCATATGGCCTAACACCTACAGTAACGTGGGTGACCTAGTGTGGGGGCAGGGGGGCCCAAACGGAGCGAACAGATGGGAAATCTGCCCGTGGGTGGCACCCCACCACCAGCCTAGCAATAGTAGACGCTTATACAGATTAAAGTAAGGATGGGATTATATATTGCAACTTGAGCGATGCAAGCAACGGAAGGCATAGCAAATAACTATAAACTGAAACAGGGGAGTTAGCCAGCATGAGCCATAACCGTGAACAAACACCCCGCTGTCTGGGAGCAGAGGTGGTAGGAGTTCCTAAAAACATAGAGAACAGGGCAAAACAGAGTTCTCAAACTGCAAGGAACATTCCGCCAGGGGACGTAAGTCTCCGAACTCCAGCAGGTAAGTCGCCGAGAAGGAGAGAAAGAAATCACTTCACCGAGGATGCGGATCTGCGAGGAGACTTCGTCTGCCAATGTTTACGGACCGGGACATCAGGAAAGCTTGTGGTATATGGCCAATCCGGAAGAGACACCTGGGCCAGCTGAAAAAAGCCAAGGAACCGCGGCAGGTCGCCCAGGTGTCGGAAGATCGAGGATTTCCCATCGCGGGATGCGATCAGATGAAATGGGTAACCCCAGCGGTAATTGATGCTGTTTGCACGAAGCACTTCCAGTAGTGGCTTGAGGGCTCTGCGCATCTGTAGGGTACGACGAGATAGGTCCGCCAGGAGGAGGATCGTGGAACCGTTAAACTGGATCTCATCAGACTGCCGTGCCGCCGACATCACCGCTTCCTTTACCGAGAAAGTGCACTCTGCAGATTACATCCCTCGGACGGTTGTGGGCGGCTGACCGCGGGCCCAGGGCCCGATGAGCACGGTCAATTTCTAACGGTTCGTCAGTGGTTTTCTGCAGGAGCTGATTAAAAATTGCACGTACCATGTCAGGGAGAGCCGCAGGTTCCACTGATTCAGGAATTCCCCGGAGGCGGATGTTGTTACGCCGGGATCTGTTTTCCTGGTCGTCTAATTGGTAAATCAGATCATGTAGCTGGACCGAGTGGTCTTGCAGTATCTGATGGTGTAGGTCCAATCTGGAAGATACTGTGTCCTGGGTAGTTTCTAGGTCATCCAAACGTGATCCGATATGGGCGACATCAGCCTTTAGCCCGACCATCTCAGCTTTGTAGGCAGCCTCCATCCGAGACACGTAACGCTGCAGGTCCGCACGTGTAGGCAGAGAGCGGATATAGGCCTTCAGGTCATCCTCACCCTCCTCCCGGCCAGAATCAGCCGGATCCACCGACTCCTCCGATATCGAAGCCATCGACGGGGAGTGGGGGAGGCCAATCCGCGGCGTCGATATACCGGCCTGAGCGCTATCTCGTCCAGCAGGGGAGTCCGCACGCGGCGAGTTCCGGGCCCGTTCCACTAGGCCCAATCCAGCCGGCGGGTCCGCGGGTGAATGCGGCGACCTCTGCCAGGTGTGGAAGAAGGTGGAAAGCTTCCCGGACTTACGTCCACCCGTGCCCGAAGGTGCTTTGGGGTGTCTTTTGGTACCCATCCGGTTTGTATATCGCCATTGGAGCTGTAGAAAGGCTGTAAGGGGCACCACGCACGGGAGCAGAGAGAAGATGCGACTCACTCCGCCATGCTCCGTCCACGCCCCGAACGTGCGCATTTAAAAACAAAACATAGCTCTTTACTTTTTTGGCTGGCTCCTAGATTCACAGAACATTTGTCAAGCCATGTGGTACCCCCAAACTGCAAATAAAGAAAATATACTTACGATCCACAATCCCCCTTGGTTGCTAGTCCTGTCCCTCTTCTCCCCTGGGCTCTAGCGATATAAGCCCCGCTGACGTCATCATGTCTATGCACAGTCCATTCACTTGCATTAGATGTGAGGATGTCGAGGGAAATTCCACAGGCAGTGCAAGGTGAGCAGTCACAGCCACAGGATTGAGGATCGGGTGAGTATCTTCTTTTTTATGTGCCCGCATAGGCACAGGTGTTCCATGTAACCTCCTGTCCAATCAATGACAGGCCGGTGATGGGCTGCAGCTGCACAGATCTTCACAAACAATCCCAGTACTTACATCTGTACATTTTTACCATTTAAGGTCAATATACTATTTTTTAAAAAGGTAATTACAATTTTTTGTAAGGTATCATTGAAGGTAGTCATGCGGGTACATATAAGATTGTGTTTTATATAGTTTCCATTAGTGTTCTCAGTGTTTGTTTTCTCTTTTTTTTGCCTAGAAGATATATGCCGAGTATGTCGTTCAGAGGGAACTACTGAGAAGCCTCTTTATCATCCATGTGTGTGTACTGGTAGTATTAAATTCATTCATCAAGAGTGGTAAGTTTTAGAAATATTTTAACCTCAAACATACTATTTAATACATATATTCATTTGTATTCAGTAAATGCTTCTTCACAGTAAAAAGCTTCTGAAACTGGACTGATTTACAAAGCAGTGTCCATGAGTCTACTGTACCTATCTACACTATACTGCCAAAAATATTGGGGCACCTGTCTTTACATGCACATGAACTTTAAAGACCTTAGTCTTGCGATGGTTGTAAAGTACTTAAAAAAACGTACGATCTGCCCATCTTGGACAGGCAGATCGTACTTGCGATGACTGCAATGGGGGGCGGGCTTGCAAGGACGGCAAACGGGCAGTGTGCACACCGGCCCGTTCGTCAGTTGTCGAACAAGCAGGCCACTCACTGAGAATCGTACGATTCCCGGTGGGTTTTCCAGCCTGCTTGTTCGATGGAAGACGTGCGACCGTACAGTAGAAACGGTCGCACGCCTTCCATACACTGTACGATTCTCGTAAGATCGTGGGATTTCCCACGATTCTCGCACGAGAATCGTACAGTGTATGGGCACCTTTAGTCCGTAGGATTCAATATTGAGATGTCCCACCCTTTGCCGCTAAAGGAGCTTCAACTCTTCTGAGAGGGCTGTTCACAAGGTTTAGGAGTGTGTCTATGGGAATGGAAATATTAGGGGTCTATAAAGCCCCCTGATATTTCCCTTTTTAAAATAGAGGACTTTGTGTGCTCAATTCATTTTTCTATCTCTTTTTCTGCAGCCTCTGTTCTAAATGAATGGAAAGCACAGAGGCTTCCCATTCATTCAGAAAATATTTACTATCACCAGTTTCTGAATGGGGAGGAGCCTCTGTACACAGTGCTTCTCCCCATTGAGAAACTCATGAATGAACAGGAAGTGGTGTAAATCACATCCTGTTCATTCATAACTGGGGACACAGTACTATGTGTCCCCAGTTATTTACAAACACTGGAGTGATCAGCTGATTGCTCCAGTGCTTGTCCTGCACACAGGATCGGAATTTATCACTGATATATACCGATCCTCTGCCGCTCGGCCTCGATCCTCTGGATCCCCGCTGCTCTCCCAGGCAGAGGCTGCGAGGGATCCGAGGAAAAGTGAAAGAAGCACTTCAGCCGCAGGGCAGCAGAGGAGGGAGCCGCTGTCACAGAACTAAGACCGAGCGGTGAGGAGAGAGACGCCGGCTGTCAGATCCTGGCCGAGCCACTCTCTCTCCCTCCCCTCACCACTTGGCCTTACTTCTTTGATAGCGGCTCCCTCCGCCGGATGCAGCGGTTCCTTCACTTCTCCTCAGATCCCTGCTGCATACAGATGGGGAGAGCAGCGGTGATCCAGAGGAGAAGCCCCACGGCAGGAGGACATGACATCGTGATCGACTGGTAGATCGCGATCGACCTGAGAGAGGGAGAGGGAGAGAGACGCCGGCTGTTATCCTGGCCGAGCCACTTTCTCTCTCCTTATCATGGTACCATGCTTGAATTCACTGAGATCGACCCATTCTTTCACAAATGTTTGTAGAAGCAGTCTGCATGCCTAGGTGCTTGGTTTTATACACCTGTGGCCATTGAGGTGATTGAAACACCTGAATCCAATGATTTGGAGGGGTGTCCCAATACTTTTGGCAATATAGTGTAGTTGCGGACCTTTAGGCATACTGCACTAGTCAAAAAAAAAAAAACATGTTCTAAATACTTTTGGGGTGTGTGATATCCTTTGGGGGAGTGTGTGACTTTTGCAGTCAAATTTGAGAAAACCCCACTACAGGTGAAACTCGAATAATTAGGTTGCATTAGTGAAATAAATGAACTTTGCACGATATTCTAACAGGTGAAACTAATATATGAGATAGACTCATTACATGCAAAGCAAGATAATTCAAGCCGTGATTTGTCATAATTGTGATGATTATGGCTTACAGCTCATGAAAACCCCAAGAACACCAAATCCACAACCTCAAAAAAGTAGATTATTACATGCAATCAATAAAGCAAGGATTCTACATAGAACAATATCGAACCTCTGAAAAGTAAAAGCATGCATATGTACTCAGTACTTGGTTTGGGCCCCTTTTGCAGCACTTACTGCAATTACTTTTGCACGATATTCTAATTATTCGAGTTTCACCTGTATATGTTCGTGTTCCCATTCACACATCTTGCCTAAAAATTATTAAAATTAAAAATATCTCCGACCTTTTTAGATGTCTGTGTAGCGGGTCTTTGCAAGCTTCTCTCTTATTTTCAG